AAAGCATGGGCTATAGCCTTGGGTATTTTTTAGATTTTGGCAAATTTCTTAAAATGGCTGTAGCTTAAAAAATTTAAGTTGGAATCAGCTCAAACTTTCTACACAGCATAAGGACATCAATATGTATCAGAAAATGTAATAAAAATTGGGGGTCATTTTTAGCCATTTTTTGGAAAAAAGCATGGACTTATAGCCTTGGGTATTTTTCAGATTTTGGCAAATTTCGTAAAATGGCCGTAGCTTAAAAAATTTAAGTCGGAATCAGCTCAAACTTTCTACACAGCATAAGGACATCAATATGTATCAGAAAATGTAATAAAAATTGGGGGTCATTTTTTAGCCATTTTTCGGAAAAAAGCATGGGCTATAGCCTTGGGTATTTTTCAGATTTTGGCAAATTTTGTAAAATGGCCATAACTTGAATAATCTAAGTCGGAATCAGCTCAAACTTTCTACACAGCATAAGGACGTCAATATGTATCAGAAAATGTAATAAAAATTGGGGGTCATTTTTTAGCTATGGTTTTTACCCTTTATCTAAGATTTTACATTTTTTATTTTGATATTAATCTGTAGGACTCAAGCTTTGTTTCTAAATGCTCAAGTGTTTGTTTATGGAGTACTGCAGGACTTACAAGTCGTCTGGCCAGCTATATTAGGGTAAAATATTATTATTATTATTATCTATTTTATTAATTAATTTATTTATTTAATTTAGTGCTGCTGGAGTAACTGTTCTCTTCTGCTACCTTTATGTTATTTTGATGAGGTAATGGCATCGTTATTTTATCTTTTATTTTATTATTTTGTTTCTAGATATTTTGCCGGGATTGTCATTATTGTCAGTATCATACTGGCTCTGCTCCTCATAGCAACAAGTAAGATCATTATCATCATCATCATCATCATCATCATCATTATTATTATTATTATTATTATCAATATTATTATTATTATTATCATTATTATTTAATGAGTCATTTCTTTTAGTATCTGGTTTTGCTTACTTCCAATACTATTGCTTTGTGGCGGGTAATGCCAACATTCCCTCTCTCACAAGTGGTCTCACTGACTCATCGACCGTCGTCAACTTCCTCAATTCTACCGAGAGCTTTGCTGCGTCTGGCTGCCAGTTCACTAACCCGCTGAGAGATTTCTTTGCCGCCAATGCTCCATGGTACGAATATCAGAAGGAAACATGGCTGGTTATAGGTATGGAGGAGGGAGGAGAGAGAGAGAGGGAGAGAGAGAGAGGAGGGGGGGAGAGAGAGATGCAATACAAGTGTTGGATAAATAATTTAATTGTTTTTTTTCATCAGGTATTGTTGGCACAGTCCTTCTCCTAATCCTTATCATCATTCTAATTGTCTTTTCTAAGCAGATCAGTATCTCAATAGCTATCATCCAAGAGGCTAGCAAGTAAGAAATATATAAATAAAAATATAAAAAAATAAAACAATAAATAATTTATTTTGTTAATCTTATTAATTTATTTTATTTTGTAGAGCCATTGGTTATATTCCTGGTGTTATATTCTACCCTATCTTCACTTGGCTGTTCATAATATTAACAACGATGTTCTGGGCAGCTGTGGCACTGTATCCTATTAATTAACCACTAATTACTTAACTACTAGTTAATTAATTTATTCAATATCTAGTTAATGGACTAGTAGTTAATTAACCAGTAGTTAGTATCCTTAACAGTTATTAATGATAGCTTCCTGTACACGGCATCCAAGAGCCAGTTCATATTGAGATCAAATAATGAAACCGTTGATTCAATAACGTCGATCACCAACGTAACCTACCACATTGGAAACGAATGCATCCTAGAGGTAAGACTGTAAGAAGAAAGAGAAGTACATTTAGCTAAAGAGAGGTAGCTATAGATAAAGAAAGAGAGGTGCATGTAGCTATAGATTGGTAGTTATATGGATATGATTGTACACTGTAGCCTCTCTTAATGGACATTCTCTACTCTATTACATGTACATGCTTTTCTCTTTTGTAGAATTTCAATGGAGTTCTTGGTAGTAATAATACACTAATGATAGAGGATGTTGCTAGTGGTTTGAATAATACTGTTTCCTGTATCTTTAACACTTACGTTAGTGACCAGTAAGTAAT